GTCAAAAAAAGTATGTGCAAGATACTAGATATTTCAAGATTCAGAATTAGCAAAAAGATCGCATTTCTTAGGGCTGCTTTGAGTGTAAAATGCTTGTGCAGATCCAGCCTTCAGTACTCATTTTGTTAAGTAGTTCTGAGTCAATCCATGAACTTTTCTCATACATCAAAGCTTATTTCCAACTGGGCATTAAAATCAACTTAAGCCATAGCAGATCATGCTTGATGTGGGCACCATCTGCACCACTTCTAGCACCCTATTAAACTTCTTTTCAGTTTTTTTTACCTGCCACTTATGAATAAGGACATGTAATATGAAACTTAAGTGCTGGAATTTTTTTTTTTTACTTTTACAGTCCTCTCATCTACAGACAGCCAAATTGTGACTTTATATAACCATCTAATTCTCTATTACTGCCAAAGCTGTCATGACTGTCATGAGGCTTGTTCTCTTTTATTGTTATCATTTAGACCTTATTTCTTTAAAAATCTTTTTAGCATTTTTTCTTGCCTTTGCATATGGCATCCTTCTATTAACTCTGCTAATAAATTGACAGTTCTGCCATGACTCTAATCCCTTCCTACTTTACTACCTACTTTGTTTCCTTTAAATTCAATTATTATCCACTCTGCATTTATTTTTCACTTGTAGTCAAAATATCTGTACCTAAATCTTCAGCCTTTTCTATAGGGATCTCAAAATCTTTAATCCAGTTGCTCAGTCCTTTTTGATTGACTTAATTTATTGGTAACATGGAGAATGTAGGCACATGACTGTCTAATGCCATCACACTTCCTTCTGCTTAAGGTTGGGGCCATGTGCAGCTAAACAAAGTTTTAGAATACTGCAGGTATACAAAAGGGTTAATCCCACTTGGGTAAAGTAACAATCTGTTTTGAAGAATGCTGACTTCCATCAACATATGTTCTTACTGGCTAACTGGAATAAAGTTAAGATCAAAAGAGGTTCTGTTTTGAAATAGACTAATGAAGGGGAAAAAACACAACCAATCCAAAAGCTGCTATGAGAAAATGATAATTTACCAAGGAGTTTATTTAAATCATAAATGTTCTTCTCATTAAAGGTAAATGATCAGCATTTTCACAGATGGATAATCACCTTAACAGCAAAATAACATAAGGATACAATGTTAAAGGCCACAATTTCTTTTCCTGTCAAACTGTTTTCATCTCAACCCGAAATTTTAATTTCAAACATTTACCCTTGTCTGCTCACTGATTATTTTTTTCCATTTGATGGCAATGAGTAAACATTTTTAAAAGTTTAATGGAGATCTTGGAGCAGGTCAGCTAGCTTTTGACTGACCCAGAGATGACTGACAGCTTGCAGCAAATATTATGTTTCTGGACATCAGG